GCAAAGCCCTATGCAGCATACAAATATAGAATCCCTAATCACGACAATGATTATCCAATCAGATACAAAAGAGACACTACTCAACTCTTTCGTAAACCATACACTTCGTATTTTATACTCCATTTCTGGTATACTCTATGTTGTACATTGTACAAACTTCATTCCTAGTATAACAATCAATAAACTTTAATTTAGTATATAATTGTATTTTTTAAGACCATTAATATAAATATAAATGCATAAATGTTTATTCAAAAGTATGAAAGAAAAACTATATCAAATTAAATTAAATTTGATATTTAATGCTTAGTGTAATTAATATATCATAATTATTTTTAACTTTCTTTAAGCAATTTAAGTACTTAGTTTGAATTGTAATTTTTTTAATAGTATTTGAATACAAACAAAAGCAATTGCTTGTTTATAAATTTTTATATAACCTATTTGCTAACCTTAATATCTATGCAAAATATATTATTCATCAACATGACTTAGTATTTTTTAAAATATTAGAAAATTTGATCTTTGTTAAGTTTTGAGGTTTTGCCTTTTACAAAAAGTTTGACAGTTTTGCTAATTTAATCAGGTTTTATCAGTTTTACTAAAAAGTTTCATCTTTTATCTTCTGCCAAGTTTAGATTTCAACTTTTACCATTTGTTCAAAATAGTTTTTTTTAATAATACTAACTGTTAGTATATATATAAATTATAGAAAATTACAAATTTTAAGATTTATAAATTATAATATTAGAAAACTTAGCAACAAATCTTTAAGAACTCTTAATGCAGTTCTATGCTATAATTTAATAACATTCAAATTAGCATTTAATAAATTAAATGCTAAAATTGCATTATAATATTTAGTTTATAATTAATATTTTAAACACTTAGAATTTTAATAGAATAGTTGAAAATATATATGCATTTGAATATGTAATTACAGAGTATAATTTAAGTAAAAAATAAAAACATAAGCATTGTCATAATTGTAATAACTAATAATAGTAAAAAAAATTTTAGAAGCAGAAATTAGTAACTTAATACAAATTAATTTGCATATTAATCTAATATTTATTATTTTTTATTTTTTTATAGAATTTACTTAAATAATAATTAATCATCAAAGATAATAACAAAATATTTTAAATAACCTAATAATCAGATAATTTTTATGATATAATGTTTTGTAAACTTTTGTTTAATTAGCTAATGTAAGTTGATTATTATAATGTTTATTAAATGCTTTACAATTTATTAATAAGTATCTGCACAATATTATTATACAATATCAGAAATGTGAAAGTTCTATGCAGACACCATTTCAGTTACAGAAAACTATATTCTTCATTCAATCTATTTCTAGTATAAGAAAATAACTTTTTATAAAAAAAGTTGATCATATTTGCAATTTGAATATTGGTTTAAATTTCAGTAACTTAGTTTAAAAACCTATTAATAAAGTTAATGTCTAGCTAGTATTACACAGTTTTAATGAATTTAACTCAAAATTTTGAGGCCTTGCAAAAAACATTAAAATCTATAAAACAATATGTATTTAAAAATAATTGACAAATTCTTTTAATTATTTGACAATCAGCAATTATTATTTTATCTGTTTGATAAAAAATTCACTAAAAAAAATAAAAATTACAAAATATTTGGCATTGAGAACTTTAAATTTATATTGGGTTACTAATTTTTGTACTAAAAAATTATTTTTACTATTGTTTATTATTGTATTTTTGATTTTACAGATGTATATGCTTATTTATAAGTTTTTTTTTTACTGAACTATAAATAAGTTACATGGATCAATCAATTTTAAGACTTTGTATTTATTCCTAATACCTACCTTTTAAAGTATTGTTCAAGGTGCTACACATGACATGATGAAAAATAACCCAATTATATACTAAGAATTGTATACATTATTTAACTTTTAAGTAAACTATATTCTATATATTTTATATACTGTTTCTGATATAAGATGTTAGATCAGTTCTTATTATACATTACTTAAACTATTTATTAAATACTATATTTGCTTTATTCTCAGTTTTTAGCATAACTATATTATGCAGCTACCTTATATACTAATATAATAGTTTAAGTATTTAATCTAAAATATAAACAATATAAGTATTAAAGATTTTAATTTAAACTGCTATTAAAGTGATAGCAAAATAATAGTTTTTTTTTATTATTCTATTTTTAAATATTCTAAAACTTTGTGTTTAGAGTTTAAATAAGATATTAAAGGTTTAGTTTATTTAGATTTAAATTTGAAAAAGTTATTATCTTCAACTAATTAAGTATTTATTGACAATACTCTTTAGAAGCCTCTTGTAATGTAATTTTTTATTTTGCTTTTATAATTTCTACTAATTCAAGTTGCTTATCAGTTAATTTATATATCTGTATAACTTGAATAGCTCGATTTTGAAATTTTGATAAACATGCTAAAATTTCTCCATTTGCATTTTTAGCCTTATTTATTTTTTTAAAAAATTCATCAAGTTGAGAAACATGTTTAGAAGAATTTAATAATTCTTGTAATACTAAATTATATATTGGAATATATAAAGGCTGTAAATTAGAAAATTTTGAAAATAGCATAAAATAGAATTGGAAAGAAATATTAGATATTAGTTGTGAAGAAATATTTGGCATTGTATATAAAGAAATATTTGATAATAGTTGTAAAGACATATTAGGTAAATATGGAAAATAATTATTTAACAATTGTAATGAGACATTATTTGATATTTGAGATAGAAAATTGGTCAATAGTTGTAATTGTTTTAATAATATTTGTAATAAAATTTGTAATGATATTTGTAATGGTATTTGTAATATTATTTGCAATAATATATATGAAGGTGCTTGTGAAAGCATTTGAGATGATACTTGAAAAAATATTTTCAAAGGCATTTGTTAAGATAATTGTGATGAAAGCTGTAAATTAGATATTTCTTTTTTATTAGATAGTAATATAAAATTGCATAACTTGTGATGTATTTATATCTGCTAACCCATTTAACTATTTAAAATGATTTTATAATTTTAATATTATAAAATAAATAAATTAACATACATATAATTGCTCAAGCCCAAGTTGTATAATGCATGTCTGTTAATTTAATATGACTAGCTTTAGTAATCCAACAAGAACCTTCACAATTAATACAAAAATATTTTTTACGAATCTGAAAAATAGTAGATACTATAATATATTTATCATTATCAAGCCAAGATTCTTAAACCTTTTTGCTAAATAAACATGGTTTTTTTTTTAAATCATCATTACTATTAGATTCTTCAGATCTCTAAAATAATAAAGTAATTAATAAATTAATAAATATTACTATATTAATATGATCATTTGAAGTATTAATTTTATTTAATATTCTTTTTAAAGCTTAATTATTGTTATTTCAAATTGTTCAAATTTTATAAAAAATAATATAATTATATATTATTTTGGTTAATTATTTTTTTGTATTATTTTTTGAAGAATTTCACATTTGAATATTAATAAACATATATTTTTTTCTATTTGTAGCTTAATTATAATCTTCAATAAAACTTTTAAAGTTATTTTTATTAATAATTTAAGTTTCTGTTTTAGTTTTTTTTGTTACTTTATATAATAATATATATTTATTTGAGTAATAGTAGTATCATTTAGTTGAAATTGAATATGTAAAAGGATTTGTTAATAGAATTCATCACAAGAATTTGCTAAAATATTTAATCATTTTGTTAATAATATAGTATTATCTTGATTTTTAATATATAGTTTAAGCAAAAATTCTTTATTTTTATACTTATTATTTCTATTATCTAACTTATTTAACTGTTGTTATCTTATATCTACTTCTTTTAAGATAGTAGGTAACTAAAGTAACCTTAGACAGTGAACACTTTTTGTAACCTTATTTGTTACTATATTATAACTAAGTCAAAAGATGGTTTATTTTAGAAAACTTAACAAAAAAGATTTAAGGCAATTTGCAATTATAAAAGAGGCTACAATTAAAGATATATGAGAATACTAATAACTGTTTAATTTAGATAGTATAAACTAGTAGTTTATTAGTGAAAAAGTATAAAGACTCAATATTGAACTTGGGGTCCATATCTGCTACTTTTATACTTTTTGACTATATAGTAAATATAATAATCTATATCTTTTATATATACAAAATATTTTACAACTACTATTAATAAAATAAATAAGATATGTTTAATATATTAAATAAATAAAATAAATAAACTAAATAATATATATACTAAATATAATATAAAATATATGAGCTTTAAATTATATAAATCTTATATATTTAATATATATAAGGTGTGGTGACCTAGTGAAGTGAATAGGTTGTCAACCCCCAAGTGGCAGGTCTAAGGTTCAATTCCCACAGATGATGAATTTTGAAATTATACCTGTGTTATAGTAACTGTCTCTACTGATCGGTTGGGTTTTGGGCATCTGTAATCTTAGGTACACCAAG